GGTCTTATCTCTCAATCTGTGTGTCAGTGTATTGAGCTGGCTTCCTTTGCCAGCAAGCAATGTACTCATCGCTTCCTTGTCCAGTCAGGGCCTTGAGGCAGTATGTTGACTTAACTGTAGACTTTCATCTGACGGGACAGTAGGTTATCTGCTTTGGTAGGGACTTTAAAAAGGCTTTTTCACAATGGTGACAAAGGAGATGGGAGATACAGACGTACGTCCATCCAGCAGTCAAAGACGGGATCACTGTCTTAACACTCTGTGCAGAGCATATCCACATTCTGGGGTGGTTCTGAAGGTTGTTTCACTGATGGAGATCCATGTAGGGGCTACTTTGTCATGTATTGTGTATAGGGGCTATGTTCATGGAATCCATGAGTCTCCCATTTGAGCAAGATTTTAAATTTCTGTCTTATGCCACTCTGTGACCCAGCTGGGTTGAAAGAAGCATCCACAGTCCTTCAAACTGCCTCTGGAAGCCGTCCAGAATGCATGGGAAACATAGCTGTCATGCATATTTAGCTCTAAAAATGTTCCACACTAAGCTGCTTTCCAAGGCTTAAAATATCAACTTTTATCACATGAATTTTATGCAGTCTGAGATTATGCTTCTTAATTTGCAGGAGTCTTACATGGCATTTTCAAAGGGCCTAAAGCGCTCTAATGATGAATGTATTCAGAGCATGCTAATGTCTTTATGTATTTGTTGCTGATGTGTCAACAGAAAAGATGAAAAGAAAAACCTTTGCAGTGCCTGGGAGAGCTTCGATGCTGATAATGGCCTGAACGGTAAGCAATCAAACTCATTCAGCCCCTCATCAATTCATCTCGTAATAGTGAACATGCTAAAAGCAAAGCATCACGCCGCAATGAGCGCAAGTGAAAGGAGCAAAGTAAAATCAATGTGTTCAACGCATGATCCCAATGCCTCCTCAAAGTCGTGAACACATACTGAGTAGCACTTCCTCCATGCTACTCTCAAACATGGTTTAGTCCGAGTAGTGGGAGAGGAGATAACGGCGACATGGTCGGTTTTTATGCTGCACACAATGGTGTGCACCCCGTGTCTAATCACACCGTTCCTTTACCTGAATTCTGGGCTAGAATCAGGAGGTAGCCATTATGTGTGTGGCACATGCAGATGCGCTGCTGTGCTCAGCTTGATTCCCAGCGTGAGTAGAAATCAGTGTGCGCTGCGGATGGAGGTTGAGAGGCATGGCTCCCTGCCTGGCGTACCGTGTGCACAGGTTTCCAATCATGCTGAGATGCAAGGCAAGAGGCCTCATTTGCAAATGTTTGCTGGCTTTTTAAAATTGCTGCTATCCTGGCTGTGGTGCAGTGGTTACACTGAGGCTGGTAGTGAAGATCAAAGCGTGCAGCAGTGTGTACCTAGAGCATCATCGTAACTTGAGCATTAGTCATGTAGGACACATAACATTCACACAATCCCATATATGACAAGACATACTTTTTACTGCAGCTCTACAGGTTTAAATCTCATAGTTTTTGTGCTGTCTTTTATTCTTTGAATTTTACATCCCAACATCAACCTGTGTGAGCCTGGAAATTGTTAAATATGAGAGATAAAGCATGCCTTGGCATCAGTGACATTTGGGAGTAATGAGTGGTGTCCTGTCCCAGAGTGCCACAGAGGGCCAGTGTTGTGGAAGAGAGCCGAAGAGTAAGTCATCGATCAGAGCCAGGCTACGCCAGCTTTAGGTCTGACATTTATGGCTGGAGTCTGTGATTAATCATCAGCCTAACAAGGCTTGGGCCTCTCAGCATCCCTAATGTAGCCACTCTAAGACACACACATAACCCTAGAGAGTGAGCAGTGTTGAACACTTTGAATTGACAACGGTCCTGATTAACGAATACATGGTCATGTATTCCCAAGAAGATTTTTTGTTTCTTTAGACAGGAACGAGTAAGGTTGATAACTTGAGTAAGTTCAAGTAAGCCGAGAGACTTTTAATTGTTGCCAACAACAACTGAAGTAGCACTACTGCTCCCAAATTATACTTTTAATCAATTAATGTCTTGAATGTAAATGATTTAGTTTGGTGGCACTCTTCCCAGTAAAAACCCTCAGAGGTTCAATGAACTTAAAGTGCTTTGACAGACACCCCAAGTCAGGCTCCACAACAAGATTAAAGTAATTCCTTTCGCTGTCAGTAACCATGAACACTCTTTCATTTATTGCAGATGATAATACATTTTATGGATGCCAGAAGGCTAAACAGCAGGTTAAGCAGAAATGCAGATATTTGGACGAGAAGAACATTGTGTTGTCACATCATTTATTAAGTGAGCCCTGGTCCACTAGCTCAGAGGGGAGTGATGTGGCAGAAAAATTACCCCCAAGATGGGATGCATCTCAAGATAATACTCTCTCCACTAAATCTCCTGTGGCCCTCCCAGCAGAACCAAGTTCTTTGAACCAAAGCACACAAGACACTGACTGTTTCCCAACAAATAACAACAATACGTTCACTAACTTGATGATCCATAAACGGAAAATCATTAAAGGTCTCAGCCCAGTGCGTACAAGCAGCTTAGAACTGAAACAAACCCTGCCGCTGATACAATGGGCTCCTGCTACCTCTCATGTGCAGATGACCGAGGAGCCAGTGGCCTGGCGATGTAAAGGATTTGTTACAGTGAACCGTGAAGCAAGGCCTGCTCAACTACCACAAATCTGGAAAAGGGCACCTAGCAAGAAGCTGGAGTGGTGCCAAGGGAGCCTGGCCAGGTTGGCTCATCTGCGAGCTCAGTCACCCAACAATGCCCCGTCTGTGGCCAGAACCAGACCAGTGATCCGAAGAGCAGCCGGGCTAACTGTGGGTCATAGGAAGGTGCAGGTGCAGGACAGCCATGTGGAACAGAACTTCTGTCAGAAAGCAGACACTAAACATACAGGTCTGCCAAATGGCAGCGGGTCAGCCCCACTAGCGCAGACACATAAACAAGGCCTTTGGAGCGCAACCCAAACAGAGGCAAAACACAGCAGAGATCTGGGGCAACAAGATGGTGGTCATTTTCATGGGGAACAAGGAACCATTTCCACGGGCTGCTCGAATGTGAGCAGGTTGTCGGTAAGAAGCTGCTTGTTGCCATACTTCTACTGTCAAATCAAATGCTTTGAATGACCAGCCACTTTGTAATCTTAGCACTGTATGATTCAGTCTCTGTCACTACATGCTTCAGTTCAAAATGAAAATGACAAAAAGCCACTCCTTCAAACATATCTTTATGTGACACAATGGGGTTGCAAGTCATTGTTCTGCCCTGCAAACTGCTGATGGATTCTTCTGTAAAGGTATCGAACTGTTTCAGGGACGAGTGAAAATAGTTTTTGCACAAACATATACAGCCCCCACACGGTTTCATATGGAGCCATTGCTCAGAGGAGCATTTTCAGGTAGCTATTTTTAGATTGCAAGAAAGAGTGGCTCCCTTTTCCTTCGAAATATCTTACACTTCTAACAGACAATGTGTTTCTGTGACTCTGTAGATGCCTGTGGTAAATCGACAATTAGCATCCATGGCAACCAAGTGTGTGTTACAGTGTGAAACAATGCCATTCTTGAAAAGCCTGGCACACTAAATATGCACTGCACAATATGATTAGAATATTCAACAGATAAAGAGAGAAGAGATACACACCACACAAATAACTCCTCCGATGACAGTTTACTCATGGACTATGAGATTCTTGTGCTTGAAGAGCAACAGAATTTTTTTTTGCTTAAAAAAAAAGACAATATATACTGCACCGGTTTTCCAGTGTTTGGTGTGTCCACACTTTGCCTTTATTGCAGCTTCCATTTTTTTTGGGAGATTTTTTTTAATTTTTTCGAAGAGGGATATTTTTTTTCAACACCTCCAAAGTTCAGTCTTAGTCTTTGGTAGTATTTTCTGTTTCTCACAATCCAAGTAATCCCAAACACATATTGGAGCATTATTTTCTCTCAAAGATGGAAGCTCGAAGTACCGTTTATCTGATGTTGACAGTGTTGGTGGTCTACCAGATCTTGCTGTTGTTAGGAGTTTTTAGCTTTTTAGCTTTTATTCAGTTTTGGAAACTTGTCAATAAGTCAAACTGTTTTTTGACTTATTTTCCTTTGACTTTCCCCTTACTTATGCAAGTGGATTATCTTATGTCAGATCTCCTCTGAAATATATCCCTGTGCTTAATGACTGTTTTGACTGGAAATTAAATAAATGAAGGGTCTCCAACTTTTGCACAGTAGTGATTTAACTGGCTTAATTGATATTACGTTTCAGTGGGGATGAACTGGCTGGAAAAAGCAATATGAAGTTTGAAATGAAAAAAGTCAGTCTTCCATCACAGGGTGCACAGATGCATAATTAAGGCATAATTAAGGGAATCGTGAGCCCCTCATGCACTATTTTGTCTCTTGAATTCTGTAAACAACTGCCATATCGAAAGCTTGACAGTGACAGTTAAAAGTCAGCACATGGCAAACAGCTTTCAGTCCCAGTGACTTCACCTGAAGCAGGTGGCTTCATTTCTTCAGTAGAAGAGTTCTAGAAGTATGATTGGTGACTGTGATAAGGTAGGAGGATCTCTCTGCCAGACAACATGAGAAAAATGACTGGTTGTGGAACAGAAGCATCATGCTGAAGGGTGAGAGGTATTAGACTCAGCTCTAGGCTGCTGAATGACAGATACAGATCTGAGGTCACTGATCCACTTCATCTCCCCTGATTGCTTGCTTGTGTGTTTTGTTCATGTCAGGACACGCTATCTTTGCTGGGATACCGAGGGTACAGTGAGACCACCACCATTCCTCAGGATGTCACCTTATTTCACGTTCTCCAAGTTCTACAGAGCAAACCAGTCAATTTTCAACAGGTCAAGTTCCAGAGAAGCCTCAAGGCCCTTTAGAGTCTGAAGCCCTAAATCCATTCACTAAGGAATGTTTTATTTTCTAAACTCAGAACAGGTCATGGAGATGTTGCTGTGACACGCTCAAAGGAAACAAAGTCAGAGTATTATTTTTTTTATTCAAAGCCTTTAAATTTTATTTCCTCTACAGTGTAAAAGGTCATAATTTGATGAAAGTCTTTAAAGGACGCAGTGAGCTGGAATCATGTGAAACTTATAGGACCGACCTACAACATCCATACAAAACCAATAGCTACGCAGGTGGAAATGTCACAGGTGAACAACGTAGATAGAAATCAGCAATTAAAAAAGTTCAGTAGGTTGTAAAAATGAACCTTTTACAACCAAAAATTCTGTACAAACTATAAAACAAATAGGAAATAGAAGTTGCGAACACAAACAAATATGCAAAATATAGACACTATAAACAAATCAGTATTTCCAAATGAGAAAAGGAATCCAGCCATCCGGGTTTGAACAGCAATCCAATGAGTTATAACACAAGCAATTTTCTTCCTTTTTGAAATTTAAAGTAGCTTAATGATGAAGTACACATTGTACATGATGTACTTACTCTGTTTTTTTACAAACACATACGCACGCACGCACACACACACACACACACACACACACTGCACAAACATAAGAAAATAAACAGCAAGAAAACCTGACAAACTATACTGTATGTGCATGTTCACTCTTTGTACACATCTCATTACTTTTGTATAATACTGTTACAAGCACTGTAATACTTTTTATCCACATTTATCAGATTACTAATGAATCCTGATTATCACTATATGTATTTATTAAAGCAGCAGTTTTAATGGATGTTATTTCTCTCTTCAGCTGACTTTTTTTCGTCTTTTAAAGTGCTAGAATTCTAGTGTCGATTATACTGAACTTTGTGTGAAGTGCATCAGCAAGAATTATAAAAATATACCATATCATGGGACACAGCCAAATGGGTCCATGTCAATGGGTTCTTTGTCATTGATCCTCATGAAAGAGAAAGCTTCAGACGTTATTGCTCTTCTACGAATTGGTCACATCTGCAGGAAATTGCAAATACACATGGCAAATCATTCTTTTTAAGAAGAGAAGGTGTATATATTAGCACCTTAGAACTGCTAATCTTCCAAAGGGCTCTACATTGGGGCCAACAGACACGTAGAATACTCTATTGCAAACGAATGTGCTAATTCTGTTCTCAGGATTAGATTCATGTGATTAAGTTCTTTCATTATTTTCATTGCATCTGAGGTATCTCGGTTTGATTTTTGATGTTACAGATGAAGGGGGTCCTTTCTGCCATCGCTCCTGGCTTTACAGACATATCTGAATACAACACGCCGATTAACATGTTGGCCATTAGATTAACATGCATTTGAAATCAATAGAAAATGAGAATGAACAGTAAAAGACAGTCTAAAAATAACCTGGCAATCTCTGGGCCTGAGAGAATTTGAATTCGTTTTCAGCACAGTCGTCTTTGCCCAACTGACTGGTTCAAGTGACATATCGCTGCTATGAATGATTAAATCATTGTTCCAAATTGAACATTAGTTAGACTTCTATTTAGGAGAATTACCCAGAATGCCTCTGAGAGAGTGCTAGTGATTGTCTGCTCGGCTGATCCATTCTTCACGGACTGAGAGGGAGGACGATGCACAGCAGGGAAGGCTATGCTCATTTTGGGTGCCTTAAAGCTTCACTGTGGTCAGTTACGGTGCCTCAGCTTGAGCAGTGGTTCATACAGAATATCACCAATACAACTAATATTATAGTTATAGAAAAACTATACCATTTATACTAGAAGTTTCTTTAATGACTGTCAACTTGGGATTGCTCATAAATATTAATTGAAGTGCACTTCTAAAAACAAATGAAATGTTTTGATGACTTACATTTACTCATGGGCAAATCCAGTTTGATTTTCTTTAAATGAAAGCATTAAAAATTATGCCACAAACATATTATCATATATATGATACAGTGGGAAAACAAAGCAAGAAAATAGACTTATCTACAGCAACAGGTTCAGTTCACTTTGAATCTGAAACATGGTAAATTCCATCTGCCACCATAAAATAGGTTTCTTACACAGACACAGTCTCTCCAGTAACACACAGTGAATCTTCAGTTGACTTGAGCTCCAGTTGTGAGGGGCCAAGAACAAAACAGAAACTGGAGAGGGGGGTTGGCGCTTGTGCAAGCAGCAGCACACCGTTATTCCAAGATATGACCAACATTTTTTATACACACATACATAAGGGGAGAGTGATCCAAAACAACATCATAGAGGATATGACTGATGCGGTTAGCATTGCACCTTGACTATGATGACTGGACAGTAAAGAGCGTGGATGTCCAATGTGTCTGCCACACTGCCGACTCAAGGTCATGTGACTTCATCGAAGGCGATGTGATTCTGTGAGAGACAGAGAGACATATATAAGCATGCTTTGCAATATAAACACCATTCACCATGTTTTTACATTTTAAATAAGGGATCACGAGTCACACACCAAGCCTTTCCTCACAGGGTCTTTTCTTGGACCACAAAATGACCATGTTTACCCTTCATGCAGATACAGGCTACAACATGTCACTTTAGTAAAGTGTCAGGAAATGGTAATGCATTAGGACAGAACTCCTTACATTTCTTGGCTGGGATCTTACATCTATATCGGCTAACTTCGGGCAGCTTTCTGGAGCCGGTTTGGTGAAAGGAAGGGGAGGGGAATTTGTTTTGGGCAGCCATTCCAGCTTTGTGCCTTCAAAGCAGCCACATCTGCCACCCGGAGACTGATGCAGGTGTTGGGGAAGAGCACACTTTAAAGCAGGGGATGCATCCATGCAGCGCAGCCGCTATCGGCTTTGTGCTACCTTAATAATCTTGTTCAACTGCCATATAACCCCTGTCTGCAGGCCAAATCTGAAAGCAAAGGAGTCCCCATCAGATGCAGTCAATTGTACACAGACATGAGAAAAAGAGGATTTGTTAGTGCTTGGACGTTATTCCAGTACAACCTCCTGTGTTTCTAGCATTCTATTTTCTACACAAAAGAATAGAGGTGTCAAAAGGGTTCTTTGACGCGATACCTTGTACGAACCACTTTTGGTTCCCTAAAGAACTTTCATTGGATGATTCGTCAAAGGAAATAAGTGACCGTATGCTAGAGATGCAGCAGATCAAGGCTGTAGCCTCTTATGCACTTCGTCATATTCTTCACAACTGTCATATTTCATAAGCTACATTCAAAAAGTGTGTCATATGAGAGCTGTAACTGTCTTCTTTCCAGTCAAATAGATGGGTAATGTAATTTTAAACCCTTATAATAAAAGAAGCTGAACTCACAATTTTTTTTGTCTACTGAAAGTTGACCCATTTTTCCACAAATCGGCTATAAACTATAAACAGATGGTCTCTCTTCAGTGATATACTCTGTAAAAAATGATTTTTATAAAAAAATACAAAGAGCGTCTAAGATTTTTGGCTTTCAGCAGTAAATTGTATGCATATAGCAATATGTGTATGATCATAAAACACATTTTCTGTTAATTTGAGTTAATGCTATGACACCGTGTTGAGCTGCTAGTGAGCAATGAGGGGTGACAGGGGAGGAGTGAGAACTCCCTGCTGTGAAAATAACTCACACCTCTCCATACAGACAGCCGTGCTGAGATAAAATGGACAGCACAACTGCAGGTTTCTTGATATAAAAAATTTGTATGGAACTGCCATTTTTATATTTTTATATATATTTTATATATTATGTTGACTTGTTTGCTCACAACAGTTTGCTGCCAGTGTTGTAAATCATACACATTTCCACTGATACACATTCCATTCATTTTATTAAAGAAAAAAAAAGTACAGTTCAACTGAAGGCCCTCAAAAGCATGCAGAATTTTATAGCTACAATGAAAAAGCATTAATGAACCATCCATTGAAAGGTTCTTTATGCAGCAACCAAAAGCAGTTGTTCTATGGCATTGCGCCAGACCCTCCATTTTTAAGACTGTAGCCTTCAAATTACAGTTAGGAGGATTTGCTTTGATTTCTGCACTTACATGTACAGCATTAAACAAAGACTCTACTATCAGGTAAACACCAGCACATAAAGCTTTGCCTTCTGCAAACCTATTGCCTTGAGCTGTAGAATATAAACTGAGTGAGTTTTATAGTTAATCACATCTGAGAGAGCAGGGCTCTGGAATATGATGAGATTATCATCATAGGTCACATCTGCAGAATGTAATGTGACCCCAAAACAACACAGTGGTACAGAGTCTCGTCCTTTGACCGGACAAATTAAGTTCTGTTTTCAGTGATATTTGCTCTGAGCCAAAACATTTCTGCGTCAAAGAGAGGAAACGTAGCTCTGTTTTTTTTAAACTCTTTTCATGAGGAGCGCTTTCAAATGAATTATACGTTGTGACAGCAGCCTGATGTAGGGGACGTTTCTGTAGGCAGCAGAGTGGAATACAGCATGTCACTGTCCTCCTCTCACATACGCTATTCATCTATGTGTGCTTTGTCACCAAAGACAAATATCACTGATAAAGATCTCCTGCTTCCTCGAATCAGCAGCCTTGGGAGGACAAAGAAATAGGCCATTAGCATTTTTATTGGTGGAAATATCACTCTCGTCCTATAAAGATCACCCCATGCATTTCAACAAAACCAGCTGCAAACCCAACACCAAGCAGATCCCAGCTTGTTTTAGCCAAACAAGCAGACAAGTAAAGCATTTAATCTCACACAATAAACAAAACTAACATCACAGCAATCAGGGATTAAACTGCTAAATTGTTTGCTTGTGTGTTTGTTCATTTTGTAACTATTATAAATTACTTTTAAAGGCTTACTTATGGTGTAATTGCCCTCTAACTGGGAGCTCAATGGTAGGAGTGCAGCATGTGGTTTAATTAATAGCTGAATGTCTGGTCTAAATCATTACACTGCTCAGCTGTGGAGGGTAGCTGTAACTGAGGAGCTAAATACAGACAAAGTTGCCTAAGGAAGAGGAATATTTTGAAATGCATTTCATCAAGGTCTCCTTGGGCTTACTGGGGTGAATCACGAGTTTTGTAGATCTCCATCGGATGTGCAGTAGAAGACAATGTCTATTTTTAGACTTGCCTGTTCAGAGACACTAATACAAATGTTGAGCAGTTTAGAGACCTTCAGGGACTCAAGATTTTGAAACCAGCATGTGGACAAATCAGCCCTCATTAGCTCACCAGACCTTTTGGCTTGCATGATGATTTCAAACAAATTAGGCCAATCAAACCTGGTCTGTAGCCCCGCTAACGTACAAGAATAACAATATAATGCAAGTTCAAGGCAATTAATGCCAGCCTGATTGCTTCAAATTAAGGGAGGACAGTAGAAAACAAGCTTCAAAGGACAGGAACACTCAGCTAGCAGAGCCAAACACTCTGGATACAGGCTGATTATAAACAGGTAATTGGTTTGTTCGGAGCAAATGAATGCGATTGAGTTTTAACAGGGATTTAATGGCATGGCTGTGTACTCCAGAGGCTTGGCAGGCACTGCTCTTCACACAGGTGTTCATACGTTTATTGCCTTGTGCTCTGCAGGTGGCGGAAGCGGCTGCTTTTGCCTGCGATCCAGTCAAAGAAACCCAGGAGGCGTGCTTTCAGAGAGCGGGGCGCCACGTTTTCCTCTTCCTCTCTCAGCTCGGCCATCTGAAGCACGGCCGTATGTGCACACATACATACACAGACAAGTCAAGCAAACATTTATTGAGACAGTTCTAAGCGCATCTTAACCCATTCATGTTTTGACGTCGCACCAATAATCATAGTTCTACATTCCATGCTAAATAGAGTATGACTGTTGGTAGAACTATTTAAACACAGCTATGCTCTACCTGAGATGCGATGTATTTCTCCAGGGGGCTTTCCACTCTAGGCATGCTCATCATAGGCGCACTGCTCATGCTCTCCTGCTGGGGGTCTTCACTCAACAGAAGCTTGCCTTTGAAGTTATGGACCACGCACACAACCTGAAACACAGCGGAAAACAACAGTTATGTTATTTGTTTTGTGGCTAGTTTTCTTAAGTGTCTACACTAAGGAGGGAAATGACAGCAGGTAATGCATCATACACTTTAGAGCTGGTGGGGGACCATATATAAACCTCTGAATACAGTACTGAGGGCCGAAATGAACATCTTCATGGGAAACACTGCAAAGTAAAGGTTGCACCACCGATGTGCTTCAGACACTACAATAGAGCAGATATAAAAAGAGGCTGATGCAATGTACTGTCTAACCTCATATACAGCGTGGGGGAGAGAAAATCTTAGGCTATATCACTCTAAAAATAAGACTGAAATGAGGGTCATTTTTCAAGCAGCCTTGTCAAATCCTCATTCCAGTGGTCTCATACAGAGAGACGCCAAGCTCATTGCATTCTGTCTCACTGCACACAATGCTTTACATAAGCCTAACTTATCCATCCTGGCTTATCCAGTTTGCCAGCCCTGGCACAAAACATTACAGTGGAAATGTGTGGCATATTTTTAATAAATGTATTTTTGTTTGTTTATCCCAATTTTGTTGTATTTATTTAATTGTATTCCCAATGTTGAAGGTCAAAGCCCTTTTTACACAGTAACTCGGATGAAAATAAGGCCCGACACAACATCTTTGTGAGTTGCTCACTCTTTCTTGAAACACTGTGGCAAAAGAAACTTTTGCCCTTAAATCCCAATTAAAATGTGACCTATTGTGTTCTCTCTGACATCTGGCCACGCAAGGCAAATAGACCTGGGTCCTGAGGCGGCAGACATTTGGGTATGTTTTACATAGTTACAAAGGGTACATTATTTTTTCCTGTTTGTATGTATGTTTGCCATGTGTCTGTAAGTTACAGATATCATGCCTCATCAACCATCTGTTCTTAAGAAGATATTTCTTCTTAAAACAAGGTTATGCAGTTTTCAAGAAGACTCTTACATTCAGCATAATATAAGAGTTTAGTTATGTGGGCTTTGAGTGAGAAGTGAGGCTGGATTTGGTCAATATAATTTTTTTATTTTCTTTGCCATCCAAGTTACTAATAAAGGTCCTTGCCAAAGTTCAAGGCCATCAGCATGTTTCTGTACAGCTTTTTAAATGTCCAAATTTCACATTCATAACGAACCACAGAAATGAGACACATCATTACATTTGAAGATCTTTTTAAGCTCTTTCATACTTGTTCTGAGTGCCATGCCAGTGTCCTTGTTGTATTTCTTTACTGCTGGATCTTTTGTTGTTAACAACTGATCCAAGTAGTAAAAAGCGTACACCACTTCTACATTCATTCTTCATTCATTAGTGAAAGTTCCGTATGTTTCTTCCACCAATCTTGAATCATCAATCATTTACCTCCAGTCCTGCTTCTCTTATTAAATGTTCAGTGCATAGGATGAACAAACAAGGTGATGGCATGCAGCCTTGTTTAATTCCTTTACCGAAGTTTGTCCATCTTCTGTCAGGACTGTGGCTTGTTGATCAGAGGTTCCTCATTAGGACAGTGAGATGCTCTGAGATACCTATTTTCCTGAGGACATTCCATAATTTTACATGGTCGACAGAGCTGAAGGCTTTCCTGTACACCATGAGCTAGTGTAAGAGCAGCATATTTGTTTTTTTAACATTAATACTTTTTTATACATGTAACCTACACATCTCCGCTAGAAATGAAAACAAACTTTATTTGCAGCACTTCATCAACAATTCAGTCAAAAGCAGAATGAGTACAAACATTAGAACTAAACCCTTGCATGGGATTAATTGTAACAGATGAAGGGGCTAGTGGTAACAGTTGCTTAAATGTCTTGTAAATTGATGCAAAACACAATGAATTCAATGCATTCAATGTTATTTGAACCAGATGAGCTTTCCAAACTAATTATAATAATATATAGAAATAATATAGGTGTAAATTCTGTAGCTTAACACAGAACTTAGTAACCAAAAAAAACAAGAACAAAAATAAAACTTTATATGAAAGAAGTACTTTTATGGTATAAAAACTTTTTTTTCAAGGTGAATCTTGAGAAATATCTGTCAGATTGCGGTAAAAATTCACAGATGACACTGCTATAATAATATAAGAACATAACTACAAGCCTGCTTTTCTTGAACCTGTTTGACTACTTAAAATATCCATGTTACATTTTACCCTGCATTAGTCTGTACCTCACTCTCCCCTACGTGCCCTGTGTAAAAGTAAATTCAGAAATATTGATACACTCACAACTGCACTGCCAAGAATTTACTTATATATATTAACATATCAATATTTTTTGGTACAGTCTTAATGACAAACTTGAACCTGAACATCTCGACACTGCTCTGTTTTTAGTCAGTGCATCCTTGAGGGAAAGTCTCTCTCAAAGAGGCATTAACACTTTAAGAGAAGGGATCTTATCTATGCACTATATGAGGCAAAACTCTTATGAGCATTTGGGCCTCTTATATGACGTTTTAATATTCTACCATTCGTTAGCAAACAGAATGCTGTCCGGCTGTATTAACTAGAATTCATGAATATTTGAGGCCTTAGTTCCTTTGCATTAGTTAACTGCAGCACCCTTCCATATCTCACTAAACACAACACTTCCCCTTCATCCAATGCTCACTTCCACCCTGACCTACTAAAGATGCGTAATGCCATGCTTATTGCAAGCAATACATTATCTGACTTGTGTGCATAAGCTGTTGATAATTAATGCCATGAAATGCATTCCTACAAGGAAACTGGTGCAAAGTGGGTCACAGTGGCTCATGGTTTGCTCATACATCATCCATGCAGCTCTCGTTACTTAGACAAAACAAAATATAACATGCATCATTGCACTAAAATAGTCCAATGATTACTGTAATAGCTTCTCATCATTTGTAGATGAGAACACAACTCTTCATACAGAGGAATGCTTAGTTGTTGTAGTATGCCATAGTAATCATAGCAACAGCAGCAGTAATCCATACTAGTTAAAGGTGAAGGCTATACATTGTAGTCGGAAGGGACAGCGGCAACGTAGTAAAACATAATGCAGAGCATTGAAACAGTGGAGTTTGTGGTGTTGCCAGGATTTCAGATCACTAGAAAGCACTGCAGCTACATTACACATCATCTTGTTTTTTTTGTTTTTTTCACAAGGACTACAGCTATGATGAAGGTTTAATGAGATATTTATGCTTTTACATCACATTCGCTTGGACAGAGCAGAAAGAAAGGCTCTGACACTCTCTGATCACTGCTGACACACCCTGGTCTCTGACAAACTAATTGCTGAAGTCAATCAAATATTAATTGAAGGCTTCTGTGATTGGCAGGTCATTAAAACAGATATCAATGTCTTTCTTGGGCCGTTCAATATTCTTTTTGCCCATGATGGGATGAGATGTATTCAGAGAGGAATTATGTAATTTCATATATTCCAGTTCTTAATAACGTCATGAGAGGTAAAAAATCATTTCGCAAGGAACAGTGAAAGGGACATGAGAAAGATTTATATAATCTACCATCCAAATGATACCAATTTGAAACTTCAGCTCCCTGAAGGCTGTGCAGTAAATTGATGGGTGCCAGGGTGACTAAGCAGCTCCTCCGTACTGTCACAGTGTATATCAGCCCTCTAGTTCTCTTGGCTCTCAGACTTCTTCACAGCCTGTTCTCTTCATCTCTGTATCTCGCTGGACTAAGTCTCTTTTATTCACCAACAGGCCTTATCGAGTGAAGTCACTCAAATGGAAATGCACACAGTGTGAACTTCAATATCACACACACACACACACACACACACACAATTCCTACAATATAAACACTTATTCACAGCTATGCGGCAATACACGACCTTATCACATTCCTTCACCTGGTCGGCATGAAATGCAAATTCCTAGGGAAAATATGGGCAATCATTCAGACCTAATAACAGCTGTTCAATCTGAAATTGTAAAAAGGTGCTTCCACACAGCATTTAAATGCTCTCAGAGCTAGCCGTTCCATTGTGGCAAACTGACCAAATCAACAGCTAATGTAAACCCTCACATTCCCCTGCTGCTGCTGCTGCTGTCCTCTTCTGTCAACATGGTATATACAGCCTACAGCAACAGAACACACCAGGCTTCTCTCTACTCCCTCAGTGTGAGATGTCTCATGAATGGGGGTCATACATTTCAGATGCTGTATATAGCCCATGTGAAGATAAGTATGCTAGCCCTTCTTCTTTAGAGAAGACAGGTTTGTTTCAACTATAAAGGCTTAACACTCATGATTTGCCATTTTGCCAGCAATAACAACGGCATGGTGCAGTTTGATATTTCTCATTTGTAGTTCATTAAAACAAGCACAGAAATTTAACATACAGGTTCTAAAATGGCGAAAAATTCAAACTGACTGGGGTGTTGGTACCAGATGGGTGGTCTGAGTATTTCTGTAACTACGATTTCCTGTGATTTTCATGCACAGCAGTTTCTAATGTTTACACAGAATGGTGCAAAAAACAAAAAAACAAAGTGAGCAGCAAAAGTGTGGGCTGAAATGTGTTGTTAATAAAACAGGTCAGAGGATAATGGCCAGGCTTGTTCGAGCTGACAGGATGGCTATAGAAACTTGAATAATCATTCTTCACAACAGTGATAATGAGAAAAGCATCTCTGAATGCATGAAATGTCAGACCTTGAGGCGGATGGGCTACAACAGCAGAAGACCACATCTGGTTCCAGTCCTGTCAGCCAAGATCAGTAATCTGAGGCTACAGTAAAAAAAGATGGGAAAAACATTGACTGGTCTGATGAATCTTGATTTCTTCTCTTTCATGCAGAGAGTACTGCCAGAATTTGGCATAAACATCATGGACCCAACTTGCCTTATGTCAACAGTTTAAGCTTTTGGTGGCAGTGTAATAGTGTGGGGAATGTTTTCTTGGCACACATTGACCCCCTAATACCACCTGAGCATCATTCGATTGCCACAGCCTATATGAGTATTGTGTATCCCTTCATAGCCACAATTTGTTCATCTTCTAATGGCTACTTCCAGCATGATAATGCACCTTGTCACAAAGCACAAGTTATCTCAAACTAGTTCCATAAACATGACAATGAATTTAGTGGACTTCCCAGTCATCAGATCAGAATCCAACAGAGGGATGTGGTAAACCAGGAGATTAGCAGAACAACCGCTGAGTGTATCATAATATCAATTTGATTAAAAGTTCTTGTTGTTAGTTCTTGTCTAATTACATTTAAATAGTAAAGCAAAAAGCCAATTATAACTCTCAAATTCAAAGGATTAACCCACTGTGGGCTACTCTCTAAGCACAGACCTTCGTCTCTGCTTAGAGAATGCCTTGGTTCTTTTTTGCAATTCAGTTATAAAAGGTCACTAGGGGACACGATGCCCACAGCAAGTGTCACCGCGGTGCCCTGCTGCTCACAGGCTCCATGCAAGGAATGAGACGCAGGCAGGGAGAACGCTGTCATGGCTGCTACTGTATTTATCTCCTCTACCACAATGCCATTTGCAGTAAAGCTCCGTGAGCTCTCAGAGAGCTTTTACTGGCTGGTTTCTGCACAATAACACATCCAGAGCCGGCTGCTGGAATGAGGAGGTAAATCCATCTCCCTGTGCACGCTAGCTCCAAACAGCACAAGCGGATTTAGGAGGGAGCTGGGATATTTGTAGGAGAAAAAAGGACTCTTGGGCACGAAAGGGGAGTGCTTGGCTTTGTGAGCAGTGGGGCAGTGCCTCCCTACCTCTGCATCACTGCCTCACAGAGGTGGGTAGAGTACTGGTACTTCAATAAAATAATGACTCCAGTAAAATAAAAAATAGTCTTGCAAAAATCAAGTTGAAGAGCAAAAAAGTAGCAGATAAAAAAACTACTTAAGTTACTTCTGAGTTACTTATTGGATTGCAGTATCTATCTATCCATCCCTCCATCCATCCATCCATCCCTCCATCTATGTGATGTTAACAATTTATTCATTAACTGTTAACTGACAAATACATAAAAGTTTGACCAATACGTTCAGTTAAAATGCTGATTTAATTTCCCATTAACAGATATTTGAATAGGTGGGTTTTTCATTCAACTTAAAAATCATTTTAAATTGTACATATGAGGGCACAAGAGTGCAACTTCTTCTTTTTTGTTGTTTACTGTAGTCTGCTGCTGGAGTGGATAGAGTTCACTCCTTGACTCCACTTAACTTTAACCGGTGGTACCAGAGCCATTGATACAGGGATATAGCAGAGATTAGGGTGCTTTCACACCCACCTTGTTTGGTCTGGATCTTTGGCCTTTTTAGTTTGGTCCCAAACAAAATAGCAGGTGTGAAAGGTGCCACAGTGGGTAGCGCTGTCGCCTCACAGCAAGAAGTGCCTGGGTTCGATTCCTGGCCGGGCGGCCAGGGTCCTTTCTGTGTGGAACTTGCATGTTCTCCCCGTCTCTGTGCGAGTTTCCTCTGGGTGCTCCAGTTTCCTTCCACAGTCCAAAGACATGCGGATAGGCAAACTGGACAATTGGAATTGGGCTAAATTGCTCCTAGGTGTGAGTGTTTGTGTGTGTCAATGTATGTTTGTTTGTCTGCCCTGCGATGGACTGTCCAGGGTGTATCCTGCCTTCTGCACAATGACTGCTGGGATAGGCTCTAGCTCTTCCTGTGACCCAGAAGGATAAGTGGCTTAGAAAGTGTGTGTGGTCCAACAAAAAAAGTCAACTTGAAAAAGTGCAAAAGCAAAAATGCTGAAACATACGTAATTTTCTGAGAGGATGAGGACATTCAGTTTTCTCCATTTTAATGGAGAAGCCACTTGCGGAACTGACGACACGCCGACGTCAGACACATGCTCCTCTACAAACCAATCAATGTCATGTAGCCCACGTAGGTGACGACAGCATGTAGGTATGTCATGCAAAGTTCTTTAGTGTGCTAGCTAAATTGAAATGTGAAACCAAATCTAATCGGATCAAATGTATACAACATCCTAAATGTACAGAACTATTGCAACTAAGATATTTAGCCACATGATGCAGTGCTAAGGTAGGCTACAACTATTTTCTAAACACCATGTGGTTCCTGTTATATGCCTCAGGTTATAACCTACAAATGTATTTGTTAATTATGTAGTTAGTCCCATGACAAAAACCTTAAATCCTGCGAACTACCAACTTCAAGGTGATTGTTGTTTAAACTATGCATACGAACTTTAAGCCAGCTGCCATACATGTTAGTGTTAACTTGGGCTAATAATATATAATAAATGTAGGTAAGTAAACTACATTATTCTTCTGTCATTTCTGTTACGTTGGGCTGCATTTTTTTTCATTCAATGAAGATTAAAGCCTTGTTCATATAAAATGCAGTGTGAATTTCAGTCTGTCAGATAATGATTTATGACTAATAACAGGCAGATATGGGTCAACAGAATTTGCATCCCTAACAGGAGCTAAAATTTGTTAGGCTCTGTTCTTCTCTTTTTGAGGTCATTTTGGTATAAAAAGACCAAAGGAAAAGTAGTGGGTGCTGTTACCAACAACACAATGAAATTAAACAAAAAAAGTGTTATATATGATAACTATACATGTTTTTATCATACCTCTAATCAACACAGTTATGTAGTGTCCAGCCTTTCATGCAGCTGAAAGTCTGAAATATAATGTACTGTTGAAAGGTTTGGAATCACTTTAAGTAATTTTGGAATAATAATAATTGTTATTCATATTTTTAATAATAACATCTACAGTGTAGACTAAAATATTATACACAAAACACCAAATTGTATTCAATATTAGTCAAAGTCATTCCCACAGTAACTTTACAAAAATCTCGTCAAGATCTCTACCTCATGATTGGATCACCACTTTTCAAATACATTATTATATTTATCATACAGCATTCAGAATGATCATTTTATTGTGCCATTTCTATACTTGTGTCATTTCAATGACCAACTGTTGCTAAGTAACAACAATGGTTTCATTACACTAAGCTGCAGCAATCTCTATTTTGGTAGAAGAAGTTGCTAAGATTAGAAAAAATAACATCCAGTGCTTCTTTGCTTTACTTTTTCCTGCACTCTGCAAAACAGCTACATAAAAGCAATGGAACAGTCATGGTTATCAAGAATAAAGTCACAGATGTGATGTTATTTGCGATAACATCTCCTCTCATGTACTATTGCCTAAAACATCAGTGCCATCCAGCACAGACTCCAACCTACTGGCTATAATCTCTGGTGCTGTCAGTAGAGACAAGTGGAAGAGTCAAGCAGAGCCTTGCATCACTTACAATAAGCTCACTATGCTTTGTATACATAAAAGGCACAGGCAATATCACTTGCAGCAGGGCTAAATTATTGTTTGATTCTATGAGAAGAGAACACAGTATGGTTACTAGGAGTAAAGGCGTGTAGAGTGCCAGATCACAGCATGGTGGCGTACCTGTTTTCTGCGCTAGATGTGTAATTTGCTCATCACTCCCTTCAGGCAGTTTTGTGATTGACACTTTCATAATGACTGTCGACTTATGCTAGTCAACAGCCAATCACAGCGTACAGCCCACTGGAATCGCCCATTACACAAAGAGCATGAAATGACCATAGCACAGATAAATGCTTCTTACCAGAAAGGTGGCTATGGCCACTCCAATGATAAAGCCGGCGATTACATCCGACCAGTGGTTGCGGTACTCCGCCACCCTGTTGATGCCCGTGAGGAAGGCCAGGCACATCAGGCCGAGCGACATGACCGGCTTGGCCAGCCTGGTTCCTTTGGCTTTCACAGTGCACGTGATGTACATCTGGAACGAGAGGAAAAGAAAAGTGATCTGTGTTCATGTCATCTCCATCAGATAAAAACATTCCACTTCTCTTGTGGATAATCAATTACAGTGTAGAGTGTTAACCTGGATTACTGCAGCTTTAGTGCTCCTGAGGGAGGAAAACTGTGCCGTATCAGCGAGAGGGAGCAGAGCAACAAGACGGCCGTGAGCGAAGCTACAAGCACACTGGGGCTGCTCATGCTTCGCTGTCACCGCTGACAATATGCATTAGAAAAAGCTCTAATCCAGCTAAGCCTATAAATGCCAGGCAGTATATGAGGAATCACATGAGGGTGTAGGGCAATATGCATGCCAAATAAAAGCAGGTCATGGGGTGTAGTTTTTGTATATTTTCAGGGCAATATGTTTACATGATTCAGATGTATTGAATGACTGCAAATGAATAAAATGTGTTACATGAAGATAATTTTGTTGATGCGACATATTTTATTTGTGTGTAACCACTTGACATATTTGAATCATGAACAGTTTTTTGTGTACTAAGTCACTACCAAAAAAATCGTCTTAACAAGGTAAGGGTCTTTTTTACAGTGTTTATTAAAAGTTTTTTTTTCCCCAACAGGTCAAAATACACATGCAGTACTGTGCAAATGTCACAGAATGCGCGTCCTGTACCATTCGGTACAAGTTTTTCCAAGAAATATTTCTAATCAGATTAGATGTAAGATAATTCACTTACATAAGAAAGGAAAAGGTCAGGAAAGGAAAATAAGTGGGAAAAAGTCTCCAAAACTGGAGTTCAATTCAATTGATTAAAATATACAGAGGAAATGGGACCCCTAACAACCATGCAAGACTTAGTAGACCGCTAAACTGTTTAAGAGAGAGGACAAAATCAAGCTCCACTCTTGCTTCAGATCTGAAAAAATACACAGATATTTCAGTCCATCCTTCCACTGTGAGAAGACAACTCAACACTATGAATCTAAAAGAATGTGCAGCTGTCAAGAAACTGTTACTGAGAAAAGAAAGAAAACTTGCACTGTAACACAGGAACAGGCCATCTGAGATGTGGAGTAAAGTTTTATACTGATAAGTCTAAATTTGTAATTGTGATTACTTCGATTGTGAGCAGCAGAAAATGCAACTTATGAGACAGAACTGTGGAGGTCTGGAAAAATATCTCTGCAAAGGTCCTTGAAAAACAAGATTCCCAAAAAGAATAGAAGCTGTAATAAAGGCAAAGAAATGAAACTAAAAGTGAAAGTTTTTATATTATATTTAGATGTCCAAGTATGTGTGTGTGTGTGTCTGTGGGCATGTGTGCATGTGTATGGCCCGAAGGAGGTGAGTGCAGTGTGCAGCTGCCTAACAGTCTTAGCTAAATCAGGCAGGCTGAGGAAGCGGCAGACAAACTGCCTGAAGCAGGCCTGTTTATGTGCCAGCTGACCCGCCCTAAAAAGAGAGAACCGAGGCTCCAACACTTTGACAAAACTTAACTTCTGACGTTTTCACATTCTAAGAGCAAGGCTATGCTGAAGGTCGTAGGTAATCACCAATCACTCCTGAGGACACAAGCAACAAAGGCAGTAATTGTAATCCTGGGGGTGTCTGAGCCATCATCCGGCACCATCTCCCTTGCTTGTTTAACTACTTGTTTGGGACTCAAAGGTCAGCAGGCTGTGACGCAGTTTCATAGAATCTCCAGGGGCAAGAGAGGGGTGTATGGTTTTATTGTGTCCTCCAGGCTTGATATATACGTGTTTGTGTGTGTGTGTGCGTGTGTGTGTGGTGAGTGTTGAGACAGAGCAGATCTGTGTGTTTGAGGGACAGGGCAGTTAGAATTCTCTTCTATCTCTCAATAAAATATACATTATTGTTCACTGTGCACTACAAAAAGGACTCAAAAAGGTTTGTTTGATGTGTGTTAATCTAAAAGAACCTGCACAACCGTTACATATACATTTTCTGAAAGTGATGACCAACATTTAAATGAACATTGTCATTTTTCAACCTGCATCTACCACATCTGTATCATACTATTGATTCCCACACACAATTTTTTATGTGTTTTACTGAAAACCAGAAAATGTATTTACTCTAAACACTTTTAATAGCAGCCCTGGCCGAGCCCCTGAATTCCATTAATAATTGTTTGATACGTGAATATATGATTTTAAAGCTACAGCATTTACACTCTAGCAATACAGGACACAGGATGAGAAAGACATGAGAGAATGTCTTACCAAACCTGTTCATAACTTTTGAACACAGCAGCAACAAAGTAAAAAGCAATTCAGGTTACATTTGTTTTACCTAATGTTTTTTTGGTATCTATCCATGATCAGCGATAAACTCCACTCACTCTTCTACACTGGTAACATATCACGAATTCTTCCCTCTGTAAAACTAGTCTCATCTCTAAAAGAACAAATTATATATATTTATACATTCATTTACAAAAGAATGAGGAGTTTATGATAGTCTTTGGCAAAAATACAGTACTATGCAAATGTCTTTGTCTTTAAAACAATTTATCTAAGCAGTGTGTGTGTTTGTGCTTACACAAAAACACCATATAACATTAGAATAAATACAAACACAAAAGCACTAAAGTGTTACAAGAATTAAGGCCTGTCATGATCTTGAAAATGAGTGAACAATTAATTGCCGTACAAATAACTGTGATTAACTGCGATGTATTCATCTATTAAAGCACAAACTAGAGCAGCCAAACTGGATGATAAGTTATCTTACTTCTTAGATATCAATAGTAGCTCCAAACTGACCACATACATAGCTCAAGCTCAAATAACCAAACATTACTCAATGTCACTCTCTAAACATTTTAGTACCAATCACCCACAACGCATTTTAATAAATGATTTTGTTTTCATTTATATACATTCTATTCACCTCAACCCAACTGATGAAAATGTGCCCGGTTTACATTCTGTTTGCTGCAATGTAAACACAGAATTGTAAAAAAGGATTTGATATTTGAGCTGATTAGAAGGACACAAGTTTGGTTCCAGAATTCCCAGCCATCATACAGATCTGTTTCATCACAAGCACACCTGATTATCTTACTGAGGCTTTTATTGAGCCAAACCAGGTATTGGATGATAACTACACATAGCACAGTGCTGCCACCAGGAGAGGTTTGGAAGTGGTTAAGTGAACATACTAACATACATAAAATCACTACCTTTTGTATTAATGTTATTTGTGTTTATTCTAATATTAGGTATGTTTTATCACAGAATTCAGCAGCATCCAATTAGCCTATCATAAACATAATTTTTCAGCAAATGCATCAAAATCACTGTCCATGGCAAGTGACTGTACTATGGACCATACTCCTTCAACCTGATTCTTTTTCCCTCTGTAATATTCTTTCCTGTACTACAACCTTCAGAACTGCCTGGCCCTGGTCTTCTGACACATTAACCTTAGCATCTGAAACAGTGCTCACGTTTAGCTCAGGCCTGAGTCACCCATCCCCTGGAGCTCCATCAAATATCATGTCGTCTCTGTGTGCAGCAAAATTTTGCCTTTCAGGTCAAGGGCAGTGCTTGTGGCCATACTGAAGGCTGGAGCGTGTAAACTGTCAGAAATATCAATTTTACACACTACTGCACACCAGCACTCCCTCACCCATAGAGGACCTTCCTTTCTGTCAGGTCAGTCTGCCAAAGGCTGCTATATCAGCTTGATTTACATCACATAATGGCTTAGAAGAATATTTTTCAATTCACTCTTTTAAGAATTCTGAAATGGACATATGGGCTTAACAGAACACTTACTCTATCACTTGATCAATGATTTTCTTCTGAATGTTGTTGCCTTGAAATATCATTAATTCAATTTAAAACTCACCTCAACATCCTGAAATTTTTGCATTTTACAAAGGATTTTTGTATGTCATATTTGTATCTCATAATGTATTTCCTATGGTGTGCTATTTTTGGCTTAATCTAGTACATACAACATGGAGCAATATTTCTGCCAAACACCTTGAAATGCACATACATGTGAATGTATCATATGAATCACATACGTCTGTGGCTAATTTGTGCCTCTGGGGACATTAACAGGACAGAATATGTGTGCTGATACTCCCAAGCACCACATCACCACATGTATTTTCAGAAGGGCTCTTGATCCAACTATCAGCCTCTTAATGACCGTTTCTAATATTCTAAAAAGCCCATTTTCGCAGACACCAGCAGAAAACAATGCCTGACCTACATAAAGCCTGATGTGCTCGACTGATAGGATGAAATAGTCCAAGCAAAGAGGTCTCCTGGGGACCAAGACAGAACTTTTGCATTCTAAGCCCTCTAGACACAGAATAAAAATCCTTAAAGACTCAAAATCCCAACTTGTCTTCTTCTCTTTTTACATGCTAAGCTTCTGGTACATTAGGATTCTTTCTGATGGCAAGCCATCAGCTCTCATCCCCCCAGTTCTGGTCTAGTGTAAAGAGGCCCAGAGTGAAATGTCCTCTTTCACACCTGGAGCTGCATCAGAAAAAAGACTGGACTGAAATGAAACAGATGCTCATTAACTACCGATTTTGGATCCTCTCTCTCTTTTGCTTTTCATTCATGAGCACAGAGTGTCTCTAATCATACCTTTTCATTAAGCACAGTTGGAATGTGAATTGAGAAATAAAACAGGGCCATGAGTGTAGTTATTTTCCAAAGCCACAGGAGGAGTGGGAGAGAGATTGAAATGGGAAGGTCGGTTACAGCCTGATAGGGCCATATCTCATCTATCACAACTGCAGGGGAAGACACTTGACTCATCTTTATCAGAAGAACAATTCACAAAACAATTAAATCTATTTCAATCTTTATTGGGTCCTAGGTTTGAAAGTAAGCTAAAAGCATTTCGACAGTTGTGTTACGTGAACACATTAAGCATAGCCTTTGAAAATAAGCAGGCTAGTCTTAAAGCTATATTTTCCTTCTGCATCAGCAATACATCAAATCGACAGATTGCATAGGCAGTTATGGCCAGAATAAGAGTTCTCATTTTCTGTTGGCACTCATTAAAGGAAAAAAAAAAACAGAGCAAACACAGCCATCATCGCGGCATATTGCACTGTGCTTTCCAAGTCCGTGTTTTTTCGGGCTGATGAACAGAATGCAAATTCACCTCCTGCAACTGCACATCTGCATTTCAAAAGCAACCAAGGGTGATGTCATCTTGTCTGCTTGCATGGCAGATTAGAGTGTTCCATGAAGACTGCTCTAAAACAATGATATATACTGTCTTTCTTTATTCTTTGTCTATGACAATGCTCAGCAGGAAAGCAGCAAAGTGAAGGAAAAGTGAGCTACCGCTTAATTGTTAAAATGTAGAATGTAGCCACCACTTGAGTTCTTCCGCACCTAAAAGCGCTACTTTTGTCTGGACGGCCTTCCAGCTCCAAACACAGACACCTCAGAAGCATGAAGAGCAGTTAAGGATATGAAGAATATCCTTGTTTTTAAAACATAATCATCAAAAGTAATTACTTTCTTCCAGACGCATGACTAATTTTCAGAAGGATGCAGGAAGGAGAAGAGATGGAGCTTGCAGTAGTGCTTGTAGTAGTTAATAAGCTACTTACGGCCAGATAGAGCGCAGCGTAGACGCTGAGGGCTGCTTCTTTGGAGGGGAAGGTTTTGCGGGCGCGCAGGATGTCCTCCTCGTTCCCAGTGCAGGCCTCCTGATGGCTGATGTAGCGCAGGGCCTGCTGGCAGCCCAGCGCTGTGTAGTTAGGCTTACATACCGTCAGGAAGTGAGGAGCAAGGTTCCCTGTTACCACCTGACCCGCATTCACAAAGATGTCTGTGGTGAAGAGACCGAACATGTACACACCTGTAGGAACAACAGTAAGAAAGAATAAACTCCTTTTAGAGAGAAACATTCAGATCACTGCAGTCCACATCATTGCATACTACTCTGATAATGTAGAGTCTTCCTGCAAGCTCCCTAGAGGCTATTCTGCTTAACTGTATCAGATTAAATAGTTGGGGCTCTGTGTTGAGCTGCTAGTGAGCAATGATGAGTGAATGGGGTGGGCTGTAAAATCAATTCACACCTCTCCACAAAAACAGCTGTGCTGAGATAAAACAGACAGCACAACTGATGCTTTCTTGATATCAAATAATCATGTACAACTGCCACAATAAAAAATGCATTTAAATATGATAAAAACACTTTGGTGATTATTAACTTGCTTGTTCACCTACAAAGATGAAAATGTACTTTGCTTCCAATTTTGTAAATCATATACACTTCCTTCAAAATACTGTATTCCATCAACCTTAAATGAAATGAAAGAAATGCATAGTTCAAATGATAGACCTCCAAACTAGGAAGAAATTGTATTCATTTTATGGCTACTGTGAGAAAAGGTTAAATCATAGGGTGTGTCTCAAATCCTAGTGAGCTCTCTAAGTAGCCGCTGTCTACATAGGCAGCTGTCTAAGTAGGCAGCATTCCAACCGTCATCTATCCTTATAAGGCTGATAAATGAGACGCTCTTGTTAGACAGCAGTGACGTCGCCGCTTGTTCCCGCCCACTGCACGAGACCGGCGTTTACTTACCTCAGCCATCAGAATCACATTTAGCCAACATGGATCCTGCTCTGGCAGTTTATATAGCGATTTTAATTGTATTTGCTCTGAATGAAACAGCAAAATAGACAATAGTTGTGGTCAAACGCGGAAAGTATAGGCTATTTGTGCACCTTTATGACTAGAAAACAGATAAATACCCCAGAAAATCAGAATAACTTACATTTGAAGATGACGTTGCTGCTTGGTGAAGCGCTTCTGCCCGCCATCTTCAAACAAAAGTTGTGCCGCGCTGCATCACGGGATTGCCTCAGCGGCTGAGGAAACATCCGATGCTCTCTTGATATTGGGCCAAAATGAGGTACCTCAGTAGGCAGCATATTTGAGATATCTAAGAATTGGGACAGCCTTCTTGTCGGGAGCGCGCATATTGTGATGTAAAATGCTGTCTATGAGAGGTCACTAGGTTTTGAGACACACCTGTGTTGGAGTCCAACACAGAAACTGTGAGCTGCACTGGAAGTCCACCTATAGTTAGACAGTATCATTACTGTCTAACATTTATGAGTTCTATAAAGGTTTTCTGTAGAAAAACAAATGCATGAAATGTTTCACATTGTTGCATCACGCAGAACACGTTTAATTTTTTTATATGATTAAATAACACACACTCGAGTTTTTCTTCTAAACTGTTGAATACATTGCAGAGCTGTCTCTTCCCTTTGCAATTCTGACATGCTGCATATTCAAAGCTCTCAACGAGATAAGAAAAAGACAAAAGTCTGTTCCACTACAGCTTGAATTCACATTTAGAGAAATATATACAATTAAATAGGATTTAGTATAAGAAAGAAAACGTTTAGGATGCAAACAGCTGACCATGAACAGTTGATGAAAGCTCTTTTGAGCTGCGGGATTATAGCCTTTTGCAGTAACCAATAGCCAAAAACAACACATAATTGGCCAAAGCTTCAATGCAGGCTCCTAGCCTGTCATCAGTTTGTGTCCATGCATCCAAACAAAGCTTTTTCTTCTTTGAAGACCATTTTTGTGTCAGACATTATCTATGTCAAGCCTTCACTGTCATCACTGGAGAACGCCTTGTTTTTTTCCTGTTCTGAAATGTCACATACTCGTTGCCAGGTTTCCATTTTTCCACCTTAAATGAGCTCAAAAGCTAAAATGACAGAGCCATTATTACAGGCATCAGACTTGAGACAACAATGAATCATTTCAAAATCATGAACAAAATGCATTTAGATGACATTAACAAAACTCCAATTAACACTTTTTATACTATCAAAGAGAATTTGTCAAAGGACTAATTGATCGTTTTTAGGCCTCAAGACACAGCAAAACTCCAATTTTGGCACCAAAACATAGAGGATAGGATCTTGTCTTATTAGGCTGATATGCCTTATTGCACCCGACACCGCAGTATAAAGATTAGATCTAAAGCATCGATCAGGAATTGAGGGAACAGAATAATGGCTGCCTGAAACAATCTCTAGGCTTGTTCAAATACACTGCTAAAAATATATTAATTATGTATTTTAGTGTATGTGACCTTGCAGCATTATTGTTGTTTGAAAGCTTCTGTTGTTGTTGCCTGGCAGCTGCAGTGACTCCTGACTGGGGCTTTAAAAGGTCTTCTGCTGGCACCACATTGATCCCATTCCCTGTCATGTAGGCAGTGTTGTTGAAAGTGCCTGGGTGGCCTTGATAACTTTGATGCTGACTGGGGTTCACTGCAACAGACTGCAGTGCTGGGCCCTGGCTCCAGATCAAAGCTGCAGGTGCAATGCTCAGCACGGTCCACGCAGACGGCGTGGGAGTCTAAATGGACCCCATCACGTCTTTTTCAAGCAGGCAAAAATGCTACACTCTGGCATCCATCAAAGACTTTTGTTAGGATATTCAGATTTTAATTAATTATATTTCTTTTGCATCAGTGTATGTGTACCATAGCAGTACAAATGTCTTCAGCAGATTATGCCGTAATTAGTCTCTTCAGTATTTAGGGAATCAATCTTGGCCGCAAATCAAAGAGAATAAATCATTCCATCCAGGGATGAGCATTACAAAAAATAATTATATAATAATAATAATAAAAAAATCAATCAAAAAGTGTTTTCTTTTATATAACTTCCGAAACTACACAGTACATTTTTCTTCCCTTGAAAATGCAGTTGACACTTGAGTTACTCAGTAAATTAGTTTCAATAGAGGACACATAGAGCTCCATGACACACTGCAGCACAAACAGTCTTTGAAGTCATCTTCAAATGCTCATTCTTCCCAGCTCTCTGTTTCATACTAGGACTATAACCTAACAAGGTGCCTCTCCCAGTTAGAGGTGGAAGATAAACAGCGTAAGCAGAGCAAGAGAGCATTTTTTGAGTTAGGCATGAGCGTGTCATGACCCACAGCCATTTTCTAAATTTAATCTCTTACGAAGAATAGCGCCATGTGAGTCATTATGCAAATAATAAGAGGCAGTGACTCCAGGTCATGAATCAAATGGCTTCAGTTAAACTCGCTCTACTGACAAACAAAGAATTGGATTTACAAGTGTCACAAACACGAACACCAGCAAAGAGCTGATGGAAATGACACTATGCGTTTCTTCCACAACATAAAGGCAAGGGTATAAGCAATACAAGATTAAACAAGCCTGCTCTTCCTGATAAAGGGTAAATCATATCGAGGGGAAAACATGCATATCTCTGACTGAAAGTTTTGGAAGAGGGCCTCACGATTAATCTCGATTACTTGATTTCAAAAAATTCATTAAAATTATGATTAACCTTCTCGACGAATCAGCAGTGATTAGTTGGCAGTCTGCATGATAAACATACATGTTGCCAAAATAATCAGCAGAATACTTGATGAGCTAATATAATTTGGCTCTGTTTCTAAGCTATATTACAGCCTTAAATGTGTTAATGTGCTCCCAATATAACAGGAGATAACAGCTTTGAACTGCAATCCAGATGGGGACACTGAGCACACCAACTCATCAATCGTAAGGTCATTCATAGAGCTTATGCAAGTATCTCCAAGTCACATCTGTAATATCGCTTCTCCTGGATCATTTCTTCACATGTTCTGGGAATGTCCTGAAATCGTAAAGTTTTGGAATCATGTACATTTTGATTTGGATCTAATCTAAATAAACTACAAATGTAAAAAATGTTTACATTAGATTAAATCTTGGTTTAAAGTTAATACAAATTAAAATGTTATTTGGTTGTTTTTTAGAAGTGTAACTAATGTTCAGTAAAATTCAATGCACTTCCATGCATTGGCTTTTATCAGTCCAACTGGAAAGAAAGTTTTATTTATGAAGCTAAAAACTAGTGAGTCACCAGAAATGGACAGAAGCAGCGCATCTAAAGAGAGAAAGATAATCTGCCTTCATGTCATGCAGAAACAGTGGTTTATAGTTAGCCTTTTTCATGCCAGTCCAAAGGTCCTTACAGGTAAAATCTCTGGTGATATCTCAGCAGTACTCAGAGGTAAAACTGTTGAAATGTTCCTATCTGTCTGTATTAGAGCTCTAATTTGAGATGAAAAGGATGGTTTTAATCGCCTGGTGTAGTGCAAATGCTTTTCCTATTGTTCTGGGTTGCTAGCTAGCATGCTCTCCACTGAATTTATTTCCTAGAATTACGACAGTGTGCAGGTTAGTCTGCACCGCATTGAGAGTAATGCAGCTAAGCTTAAAAGAAGCTTTGGTATAAAGCATTTTTGTTTTTTGGGTGGCTTTCAGAATCTAAGCAAATTCATATAGAAAATTAATGTAAAAATTCACACAGAATCTACGACATGGTCACCCCTACACTCACTGACAAGAGTTGTCTAACTCTGTTAAAACAATGTGGTTAAAAATACAATCTTTACTCTGGTGTTGACAATGAGATTAAACAACGTTTTTTAATTAAGCATTAAAGTGAAACGTATCAGGCTTTCCGTATTGTTATAGAATATTCAAATATTTTAGATAATATTTGATGGAATATTTGAAAGTGAAAATATATGACAGCGGCAGTCCCAGTAGTTTTACCACTGCTAAGAATTCTACAGAATTTTATTACACTCAGGATCCGTATGCAGTCATTTTGGATGTTTAATCTGCTATAAAATGTTAATATGACAAAATCAAAACTTTTGATACCAAAAAATAATCTGTAGTAATAACACCAGTTAGAATACTAAGGAATGGTAAAAGGAATCACAGCTACTGGAGTGCAACAGCCACTACTGCTGAGCTTGCAGATGCTTTTAGAGGGGTTAAGATGATTCTCTTGGCACTGTGAGGGAGGCTTAGGAGAAACTCTTGATGTGATCTGTGTCGTCTAATGCCTTCAGATCCCACTGCACACTACTCAGATACTTTGAAGCAAGGGGTCTACAGAAACTGCAGTCCACCCACAGTTAAACAGTACCATCATTATGTGTCTAACCATTAAGGCTTTTATAAAGCTTCTAGGTAAAAAAAAAAAAATAAAATTGTATAGAATGATTAATATTTAACATGCATTTCAGAGGTGGCAGTGAAGTCATTTGGAGGGAAAATAGGGTGAGCATAGAAGGGAGCCTATTTGACTGTGTAAATGCAGGACTTAACAAAAGATGGGAGTGGATTTCCTCTGAGGATCAGGCTAATAATCCCCTTCACTTCTGTATCCTTATCTTGTAGAGACATGAGAAAGCATGAGAGCGAGCTATACGCAGCCTCCTCTCCGTCCGTTCTTTTTATCAGCTAGAGAAATGCGACTAAGACAGGAACTATAATGGCATGAGAAACAAAGGAATATAGACGCTGTAAGAACAAAGTGAGGACAAATTACCTGTGAAATAAAATATCATGTCAGATTAAGAACATACCCAAAAAGCGGAAAGTCCTGCGCACCAGAGGATTGAGGTAACAGCAGTCTCCGGTCACAATGGTCTTTTTTCTAGTGTCAAGATCTTTTGATGTGTACTGCATCAGGAACAGCACTGCTTCTGTCACTGTTATCTGAAACAATATGAAATCACAGAGAGAAAAAGAGGTTGAGAATTAGTAACTCATACCATCTTAATGGCTACAGATATAAGTGGATATTTCACAGTCTCAAGTGAGCAGTAATTGCCTGACATAACAGAAAAGTCATAATACAAAAGGGGCCAGTCACTGAAACAAGCTCCATCTGTAAACCACCTGCTGAATGCACTGCACCATATAGAGGGAGATTAACTTGGCTTAGGCAGTCAGTTTACATTACTGAGGCACTGAGGGAAGACACACAGATGTCCACTGTTCATAGGTAAACCAGGAGATAGTAGTGAACGGTATGGCCAAAAACTCCAATAGACCATCCATTCCTTTATGTCCAATAAAACTGACTACCTCAGACTGTTTTGCACTGTTTATATGTTGCATTATCTGCGCATACAGGTATAAGCGTTATGAAAAAACTTAGAACTTAGGAAGAATTTAATAGCGAATGAACCAGATATACAGTATACCACCCACTGCTACCTGGAAATGAGTGAAAGCCTGAGGCTTGAGTCTTACTCACACAGTTTTAAATACAACATTCTCTCTCTTTCTTTTATCTGCAGGGGTTTGAGGGCACTAACAGGTGGGATGTTAGACAATAGGTACAGTGGTCCAGCAAACCAGAGATGGGAGCAGTCACCAGTGTGTGAAATGCTATAATTGAAAAAAGTGTCTGCCGTTGCCAATGGAGACCAGAAAAAGAAAGAGAGCATAAAATGGGAGAGGTGTTTCAATTAGCCTCTCCCAGCATTGCAGGAATCCATGGATAGCTGCCTCATAGCTAAACCTTTTTAGGGTTTGGCCTAAAAACTCATCTACTTTGGAATTTGCAAATGACCACTAAGAAAATGACTTGCTTCTTTGCGCTGATGTCTACGAAGCATACAAAAACCATTCATTATAATTGTAGCTTGCTTCATGCACATTTTCTTTGTGCATCATTAGTGAAAGGCCACTTAAGTGTAGTGGTCATCAAACCCTTGTGCCCTACTCTTATAATTCTTGTAATAATGTAATACAATGATTTCTCAAGTTCATAGCCGTGATTGCACTACTCATTTGGGGCTTAATTAGGAAATACACTAATGTATCAAACCATCCTCTAATGTCTAAAGGTCCTCCATAATTGGCATGACATCCAATAATGGTGACATTTATTAAATCACAAAATAATGCTAATGTTTTTAAACCATGTTCAATGTCCTTTTAACCATATGTTACAAAACCAATTACAGTGACCTATGAACATACAGTGTCTTGTGATACTCAAAGATTCAATCTTTTTTGGATTACAAATGATACTTACATATCCTTTTCCAATTATTTTTTTTGTCTGTAGATAATTTGAAGAAAATGAAAAACTGAAAAATGCTGCTTGCATAAGCATTAAAACTCCTTTGCTCTGGACGCTTCAAGCTTACACAGACGAAAAAAGAATCCCTAGCAAGGGCACAACTGTCTCTTAATTAGACATAATGAGTTCTTACTTGTAAAATATTAAATTATCACAATTTTAAACTCAGCATCCAAGTAAGATTTACAATTATAAATTTCCAACAATCGCTTCAAAGGAGCCACAGAGTAAAACTGCCTTGGTCCACGATATGAAAAGCTACATAAAACTGGTCTGTATGGAAAAGCATCAAGGTGTTACTGAAACAATCCAATAAAAACATGTCTGAAGTTCGTCAGAAAGCACAAAGAGTGACCACACAACAATTTGGGAAAATGTTTTGTGGTCAGATAAGAACATGATAAAACTATTTGGCCTCAACATAAAGTACTATGTGTGATGGAAACCTAACACTGACCAGATTTCATTCTTACATTGAAGTGTGGTGGAAGCAAAAACAAAAAAGGAGAATGCCCCATAGTGGTCCAGTCAATTCCATTGTGGCTATTCTAAAATTATTTTATAATAATAATTGAGCAAACAAATAATTTATTTTGGCTTTGGAAATTTCCAATAAAAATACTTGATTGCAAAAAACATGTTTGTAATCATGTAATCTTTTGTAAAAGATGCTAACTTTTGAGGAAGGTGAACACTTCTGCAAGGTACTGGTGCATTGAAGGTATAAGACAGATTGTGGAGCCACGGAAAGAGTCCCCCTGCTTGTTAACTTTTGAGCTTTGCTGGTCCCAGGGCAGTAGACCCTGTCTCCTCTCTTGCCTTGCTCAGTAGTGCTTTGGTCTGCTTCTGACACACAAGGAACCCACAGGAGCAGCTCTGGGGCACTCCAGCACTGCCAGTGTGATTTATGAGAGCCTGTAGGCCATCCTTACATGGATGAGCTCTTAGAGAAACCTCCACATACACACGGATTCATACACGTGAAAAAAAAGCACAAGACTTTATCTGTTCCCCCCAAAATCCCTGCCCCCAACATCTTCATCACACGTCAGAATCTGGGTTACGTGAATCCAGAGGAAAAAAAGAGAAGCTACTTAGCATCTTTAGTTGAACTCTGTACACTCTGCATTTCATGCTGTTGGTGTAACTGTGGTGGCGGAATCATGTGTGTGATACACAACATGTGCATGCTATTCCAAAAAGAAAATTCTTTTTCTGAAAGGATTGTCACTATGTATGTATTAAACTTGTGTTTAAAAAATGATTTGAACTGGTAGTGATAGTTTGCAATCTGCATAATAAAATGTATATTTAAAATCCTCCCATCGGTCTTCAGAGTAATTTATTACTTATATCCATTTCTATGCATTTTTGCTCCATATTTTTTTCTAGATAGTGTTTCTGCTACCATGCAGTTTGGAATGTCATACAATAATTGACTTATACACTGAAATGTTGCAAACTAGACAACACAGTGTAACCTAATGGTTCATTCTCAATTTAAAGTATTCTGGGAACAGCAATTTATGACATAAAAATTAAACAGTAATGATCTAGTTATAGTAGTTTCTTGGCACAAAATAACAAAGAATAGCTGTCTACTCAGCGAGATTTGGTCACTGCTTTTCAAATATGAGGCATTCGTGAGGAAGTTCATCTATGGTCCATTTATTGAAAATTACAGATTTTTTTACAGCTTACTACAAATTTATTATTATGTGAAACATAATATCAGCAACACTTTATACATGTATCTGCAACAAACTTAGTTTTATATTGTTAAAAACATTTACATTTTTTGAAAGGTGATGTATTTTTTAAGTCTCCGTTGTTTATTCTCTTCAAATGAAATATTTTAGAATGTATTTATGGTTTGCTACTGTTCAGTTATTTTATTGTTTTATGCTTTTGAAAACTGTTCACTCAATTAATCATTAGGTTACTTGACTATTTATATAATTGATAGTGACAATGCTCATGAAAGCATAACATGTATGTGACAGAATCTCTTGATAACACTCCTTTTCCCTACTGTTGGAGAGCAAAACATTCATGGCATTGTTGTCACTGTCTTCTACATTCAAAAGCCACAAATGTAACATGTAAATCATTGCAATTAAATGGTTACTTTGCACACTAGTGCTGGGCAGTATCATTAAAATTTGATATCACAATATATCAGAGGATATTTAACTTCACATTAATAAAATGAATGAACCCATGAGTGCATGAGTGCTGCTATGTGCTAAAAATATCCTACAAACTTGCCACAGCTTGGCCTGTTACACCAAAGGGAAGCTGCTGTACATTGTTTTAACTACTACCAGAAACAAACTATATTTCCAAGAAGAAACTCATATTTTTTAGTTTCAATGGATCTGAACTGTTTTTCAGAACAATATAAAACGTCCAGTGAATGACATACATTAAAGTTAACTATCAGTTCCTGGAGTGCAAAAAATACAACGATACAACAAAAAACAAACTGCATGGCAACAGAGATGCTTCATTTTTTGGTCATTATATCATGGTCATAATGCATATACCATGAATATGTTGCTTGTTATCTATTAATAATATCCCTGAAAATATCACTAAAACTGAAAAGCAATATCATGGGGTGTCAATGTAGAACTACACTAAGAATACCAGTAATATACAGGCCAACACTACTGCACATTGTGTTCTATGTTGTAGACTATGTTGTAGTCATGCTGGAGTGAGCAGCATATTAGCATATGTTTTCTATGATGTAGATTAACTGTTCAGTCTGTGTTTAGGTCTTTTATTGATACTTTTTTAGTATAACACAGCATGGAAATATGCAGTAACGCTTTGCACCAATTTTGTTTAAACGTCCATGTAACTGTAACAACCAGCATTTTAACACTGTCATGGAAAAATTTAAAACAGGGACACAATGCACACAAAATAAATAGTGACTTATATAACTATATGCATTTCATATACAATGTTTCAATCCACCAAAATATCCACATGCACACATCAGAAACACCTGAGATTTGTCAGGGTTCACCCAGCATGAACATTAGGACAAGAAGTGGAGATCTGAAAGCTCATTTGCATATTGCAGCCATCTGCTACTTGCATATGATTGATATGGATACTGTTATTGCAGTAGCCAATGCTGTGATAATGCTAAACTAATGATATACTGCGCAACACAATCCTCAGTCTTTAAACAGTATAAAGGAGAACAAGTCCGCACAGATGGAAGTGACACCATACCAGCACATAAACAAAGAGCTAATCTGCATGAGAACAAACCGAGGCTAAGCCCTCAGTTCTAAGCTCTGAGAGTGAGGCTCCACTATCTCCCCTGATGGCAGCCTCTACTAAAGCGCTGCACAGCCTTAGCAGCCTGTCACCTTCGCTGCAATCACATGCCATGATGAGGCTTGAGGAGCACAGAGCGGGAAGCATCTCTGCCAAAGCCTATGCTCTCACGCCTGGAGAACGCAGCACATTTCAGAGACTCTTCTGTGCTTGCTGCAGGGGACCGGCTCTGCTGGGACAGCCACTTTTGCTGCTGCTGTAGCTGCATTTGGGTCCTAGTTAGTGTTCAACCTAATCTGCACTTAATAAGACTAAGGATTCTTGC